AAGCTCCGCTCGACAAAGTCGACAGCGGAGCTAATTATATCTCAAAAGTCAATATTCGTGGTGTATTTTAAGTCTAACTGAACCGGAAGTGGGAATTTGTTAGTACTCTAAATATCCAAACATATTTTAGTATAAGGTAGTAACTAGTAGATTTGTAGATGAGTGGCTCTCGTGGTGAGTGGCAGAAACTTATCTTTTCATTGGAGTTGAGAATACGTGTTAATCTGGGAATGTCATGTATAATTAAAAGTAGACTGATTGTAACATGATCATGAAAAATATTGTTTATTACTTATGAAATGATCTGCATTTAAATATTAATATATTAACTACATGATATTTGTTCACAATTTTATAAACTGGCTTCCAACCGCCAATACGAATTTACATAACTTCATGCGGTAATCATAATAAATGAGATTGAAAGTTTACAACTGGTGGGGATCCATTGGGGCTGTAGGATTTTTAAAAACAAATATTGTATTCACTGACATTTATTTTATATTCAAATTTTCATGGGTCCATAGTATCTTTTTTCATTGATTTGACTACTGTAGTGTGCTTTGTGATTGTTGTTAGTTGTTTGTGGACTTTTATGCAAAAATCAATGGTTAAACAGATATATTATTTCCACTTTGTAGTATATTGTATCCAGGAGTTCAGTGTGTTGTACTGGGTTTCCCAGCATAAATAACTGATTGTTCGGAAGCATAAGATTGTAGTGTGAATTTCGTTCATCAATGCTGTTACGGTATGAAGACGCTATTCTATCTTCAGGGTCTACCTGTGATTCTGAGTCCCATGTTGACTATGACCCCGACCATTTACTTACTTGTCAGTGTCTGACTCGTATATACAAAATGCGACCAGGAAAACGTCAGAATGGTAAAATAATAAGCTAAAAGTCAGTTGCCAATCACATCTGTTGTCCATCACCGTCCATAATAGTAATCACATAGAAATTGAGAATGGCTAGTATGTACAGATTGCATTGCAATAAACACTAAATATGGCTATCACGGCCAATAATCGAAAATTCAATCTTCATGAGTGATTAAAATGGTATTTCTATCTATTCACCATGGTCTATGGATTGGCACATCAAAATCCATGAATAGAACATGTTCTATATTCACCAAAACAGCTGGTTATGTTTCTAAAACAAACCCAAAACAAAAGAAACTGTCCAATTAAAACGACCTGCATCCTTGAAAATCTGGCAAACCCTAAAAGGCAGAATTCCAGAATTCCTGGACTTTAATTATTCCAGTTTATAAACCGTTCATGGATTAGTTTTTAAAATAATTGCTGTATTGTCACGTTTACCATAAAAGCCAGTCACATTTTTTGGTGGCAAAATAATTTGTGGTTTCCTATAAATTCTCCAGACGATATTTAAGTTGGGCATACATGTGTTTATATTATTCAGGTCATATTTGACGATCTGGGGGAACTACTAGGCATGAACACTTTGAGCGAATTTTTATTTTATTTTGCTTTTTCTTCAATCAAATAGCAACAGCACTCTTTAAACTTTTAATCACATACACTGTCTTGTTTCCCTATTATATTTTAAAGATTGAGTACTCACAAACCTGTATTTATTACAGAAATTCTAAATTTGGTTGCACTAATCCTGTGATCCGTATTTTCAGTATTGAAAATTCTATTGTTCAAGCTTGTGGTCTGATTGCATGTATGCATTTTATTATTATTATTATTATTTTTTAAATACTGTAATATTGATAAATAAATATTACTAGTGTATTTGTTTATATCTTCCTAAAATACATATATACATGTATAGTCTGGCTGGTGGATTTGCAAGTAATATGACAAGGAAGCCATCGGGGATATGAATACCACTACATAGCTGAAAGCACTATTTACCTGGGGATAGAAAATGTTTTTTCAGCATACACACATCTTCATTGCACCACTATATTTGTCACATACTTCTAGAGCAACCCCAAGTGTTTGATTGAATTTGGTGATTTTCCATTTGAACATTCGCCACAAAAATGGAATGATTTGAATTTGAACTTTTTTTTAAATATATAGTTCAATGTCAAAATTCCTATTTTTCAGAGAGAATTATGGCAAAATTGACCAACATCAAATGTGTATACACATTATTAGTGTGGAAATACACAAAAAATAGTTTTGCAATTGTTGAATCTCATGCGATGTTTTGACGCCAATAGACAATGTCCTTTGTTTGTCCTAGTTTTACTTTTGATTTTATGCATATCATGGGAAATTGTCTACTTAGCTAAATAATATATTCTAACTATTAATTCAAAAATGAAGACAAGTTTTATTACGCTTGCTGCTATATGGAAGTTGCTAAATTTACCTGAGAAATTTAGAATACAGGCCATGAGGAATCCCTGTGATAACACCAGCTCCATCACCTGTATCATTGTCACATCCACATGCTCCTCTATGCTGCATGCGTTCCAACATTATTTGAGAATCTCTCAAAACCTAAGAAAAATGAATATGTAAGCTTTATCCTTATGGGCTTCTAGAGCAAATGTGCAACCCCAAAGGATTCAATGTGATGTCATCACAATATGGGTTCCATGTGATGTCATCACAATATGGGTTCCATGTGATGTCATCATATGCGTTCATGTGAAGTCAACACAATATGGGTTCCATGTGATGTCATCATGATATGGGTTCCATGTGATGTCATCATGATATGGGTTCCATGTGATTGCTATTATATGGGCCCATGTGATGTTATTATGATTTGGTTCCCATTTCATGATATGGGTAGAGACATTTTTTACTAGCCCTTTTTTTTTGTCTTGCATATAAGAACTGTTTTGCAGATATGAGTGTTATAAGTTGTGGATAAAGTTGTATTTTGTTTAAAGTTTTGAATTTCTATAAAATCTTATTCAAAGCCTGATGTTTTCAATATAGCCAAAAAAGTTTAAGGTTAGGCAGTATAAATAGAGTTGGTTGTGTCAACAGTCAGCTAGCGCACACATGATAATAAAATAAATGTGATATTTACTATATGGGGGCCACTATATTGTGAAACACGTTTTTCAGATTCCTACAAATCAGGACAAAAATACCAATCTTTCACAGAAATATGATCTGTTGGGGTAATATTAAGCCAACCAATAACAAAATTCGGCCGAGTTTGGCATTTTTGTGTGGAAAAATCCCTTAACTACGAACACCTAATTACACGAACAACATAGAACACTTTCCTGGGGTATTTTTAACTAAAAATTGTCATTCTACCTCAGCAGCCAATCAGCGACGACCTTACAATTAGAAGACAATTTTTGTTTCAAATATCCCTCCCTGATTTGTAGGAATCTGAAAAACATGTTTCACAACTTGTCTCTTATTTAGTTTTATGCCGCATCCAAGATGGCGGCCCCCATATAGTAAATATCACGTGTGCGCCAGCTGACTGTGGTTTTGTCATAGGAACCCTAACCACACTTTTTTTCTTTTGGGCCTTGTATCAATACTGATATAAATTTGTCATTTTAGTAATTATATTTGTTTTACCCATAGCAATAGGGTTTGACAGGAAGTAGAGGATTATCTCCGTTTTAGGTCAACATTCTCTGAAACTAGAAATGCAATAAGTGGTTGTTACAGTGTTGTTCATGTACCTTGTGGTCTTTAGCACCATTAATGTTAACAACAAATCCTACACCACAGGCATCTTTCTCGTACCACGGATCATATAAACCTTGCTTCAATGGTAACCCATCTTTCCCCAACAACAGTTTGGAAGTCGCCATGGTGATTTATATTTTCAACCTGAAAAGAAGAAAAATAAATTAGCAGAATATGTGGAAATCAACCCAAGCCATCAATACCAATTTCAAGTTTGCTAGTACCAAAAATACAGGTATAATTAGTGTTGACATTGTGACATCCCTTTCTTACTTGAGGAAGTCTTTTCTCTTCACACAAACACAAATGGAAGGAAGCTGGTAACCACTGGTAACCAAGC